CGATGCCAAAATGATAAGGCTACCTTTGCATTTTTGATTGCGTTTTAATAGGGTACGTCAAGAAAATGTACACTAAGGGATTTTTCGAAAAATTTCCCCCCCACGGGGGAAGTGTTATATATTTATAATAGATACATTTTGAGCCACAACAACGCGTGGCGGGGTCTGCTAGTAAATATATATTTTGAATATATCATAATAATTCGTAACTTAACAATGTTATCTGAATGTATATTAAAATCGTTAAAATTATTTATTTGATGAAACTATTGTAAAAATATAAAACATAAATGTTTATTACTCTATAAATTATTATAAAACATTTATTTATAGCATTTATAGTCATTTTATTATAAAAAAAATTACAAGCTAATATAAAAGAACTTCTACGAAAAGATTTTTAATGACAAAGGTTAATTTCACAAGAAATGGAAACTATAGTTTTAGCTTTTTTTCACAGTTTACTGCACTATTAACAAGCAGACCCTATTAAATTATTATTATTATTATTATAACAGGATTGTGTTCATATGTAGGAATGTATAAGATATATCAAATAAAATGATTCAGCTTTTATATAATTATTATTAATTGTAAAAAAGTGTTTTCTAACAAATAAGGCCAATTATATTTTAATAAAGTTTTAGATTATTAATTCTAACACGAGGTCGTATTTATCGTAATTTAAATGTTTTTATCAAACTTAAAAATAATAGACATATTGCTTTTATATCAATTGTGTTTAATCTTAAATATCTAAAGTATCAAAGCGACATAAAAGAAGAGTTTATGACCTGAAAAGGATATTGCCCTGTTCCTAAATCTGCTTCTTTGTACTTTGTACTTCACAATTTGTTTTAGATGCTTGCTACGAGAAGCAAACTATAAAGATTCGAAAGATCACTTTCAAATTCATAAACTGTGCTCTTTCACATTTTCTATCGTCTTTAAATCTGTAAATATGTCATTTTTGAACTGATACTGAATTTTTTTAGTAAGATATCATAACTGAATAGGTCAATTAAAATAAATTGATCAGATAATGCCAAATGCAGGAAGTCCTGGATATTGGCATTATAATTACACAGCGTTGTAGTCGTAAAGTCAGCAAGGGATACGGAGATTTTTATGCTTTTTTGCAACACGTAAAATTGGTATTAGGAAGAAAGAAATAAAGATTTTGATTTCTTTATTTGAAATGAAATTACAAAAAATATTTTAAAAATTATTCTTTAGATGGATTATCGTATATTCTCAGGTTACACAAGATATCGTATAACTAGGAATTTCCACGAAAAAAGAACAGAGTCTATCCTGCATCATCTTATACCGTACATTACATATGTGTATAATACAGTATACACATATGTAAATATAAAATACCATTAAATAAATATTTATAATTTATTATATATTTTAGTTCATTTTTATTATTTATTTAATATCGACAATACAGTACATATTTATAGTATTGTAATTAAATTTATATTTTAAAAAATACATATCCTTAATATTTATCTAAAATATTACGCAAATGATAAGTTTGAGACGATGTAATTATGTTTTGTCTTTCCTCCAAGCACATGCTTTTGAGTCATCACATTAATAATAAAATAATCACATATATTAGTTTAATGTTAATAAAAATCGAATAAGATAACACTTTGATTAAATATTATTCTTCAAAATATTGTTTAGCTTCTATTTATCTAAGAATTATCGCAATTTATATCATATAACCAAAAAACTACAGATAACATTTATCTAAAGTTTATTTAAACTTTAACCTATCACATCAGTATAAAATCTATTATACAATTCTAAAGTATATTTGACTAGTAAACATCCAAGAAAACTGTTATTTATTTGTTAAATAAGGAAAGTTTAACTGAAAAAGTCAATAATAATTTACTTAATTTTCACTATAGATAAATATTGAAATAACATAAGATGAATAGAAAGAACACTGTATAGAGGTCATCCTGTTTTACAAGATGAACTTTTATATCTACTTTTAACTTGACCTATTTTGATTTGAAACTTAACTTATCGTGAAAAAAAAAGTTAAAATTCACAAATTAAATTTAGAAATAAATAAATTAATGGGATTCCGGATTTTACAATAAAAATTTAAAACTGATAAAATTTTATAAAAAAAATTACAATTCATGAATAAGAATTTACTCATTTCATGAGTGATCTGATCTGAATATATAGGATTGTTCCTAAGCTCCGATCGAATCTCTTATGAATCAGATTCTCATGTGAGATTTGTGCATATTTGAAAAGAAAATAAAATCTATCAGTTTAGTCATAGTATCAATCTATAGAAGAAAATTGTATTTCAAGATTATTTTCATTATTTCAGTTTCAAAGAAAATTATTATTTTATGATATAAACTACTGTATACACTTTAGGTTTTTAATAAGTTAAAATAAATAAATAAATTACAATTCTGAACATATCATCGTGGCAGCTTAAATCTGAATTGTATTATACAACACAATTGGGAACTTTTTCAGAGAGAAAATTCCCCATCACTCTAAATTACTCATTATTGTTTCTAGAGATAATTTCTTCGCTATCTCATTGGAGTTAAATTAAGAGTTTATGAAACTCTTAAAGTTGATGAACATTACTTTTATTTAAAAAATAAAATATTGAGGAAGTTAATTTAAAAAAAATAGCATAAATATTCCTATACGATGATATAATTTCTATATTACAAAAATATGTTGTCATTATGAAGTCGATCAGTCAGTTTGTGCAAGCAATCTGTAAAAATTAAGAAATAGAAAAATAAATAATAAAAGAAATATGATAACTCAGAATGATCAAAGCAAAATCTAAAAATGTTTTATAAGATTGTGTAATCGTTTCTTAATAATCGTTGATGCAATTATTTATGATATTTATCTCTCTTTTTTTGTTTACCTACCAGACTTTTCCATGCAGTTATTCTTGGTATGTTTTATTTGTGAAGCATATCAATTACATACACTGCATCGAATTTCTACTAAGTCAACTTCTGAATAACGACCACTGACTGGAACATAAAAGAATGGCCATTTTTTGAAGTTTTTTGCATGCATTTCAGAAAGAAATGTTTCTGGAAAAAAATGGCCGGCGTTTAGAGGTGGCCGTTATTAGAAGTTCGCCCAATAGGACGAACATCTAATAAAGGTATAGTATCAAAAAAAGAGAACTAAATATTACATAAAATTACATCAATAATTATCAAGAGACGATCACAAAATCTTATTAAAATTTTTTAGATTTTGCTTTGATCATTCTGATTTATGGTGCATAAATTAGTCAAGATGATTTCGTGCATTTTTTTCTATTTCTTAATTTTTATAGAGTGTGAACAAATCGAATTCCGAGTTGACCTTAGTTCCTTTCAGCTGTCCTAAAATTTAATCTATATCTATACTAATATTATAAAGAGGTAATGTTTGTAAGTTTGTTTGCAGCAGGTAATCACCGAAACTACTCATCTGATTTCAAAAATTCTTTCACCAATATTTAGAATGGAACCTCAGGGTGGACATAGGCTGTATATTATTCCGTTAAACATTCATATAAATTAAAATATATAANTTAAAAAAAAAAAGTTTAACAGGAAATGGTATAGATGGCGACGTAATCGTGTTTGCGTAATCGTACGTTATTCCGATAAAAGTTCGTCTGGTTGGCATTTTATGTTTTCGTTTCTCGTTTAAGTTTTGTTGTTGTTATTATTTTTTAAATTAAAAAAATAATAATTAAGTTATGTTGAATGAAGTTAACGAAGATTTAGTCAAAGAACGTAAGAATGCGAGTTTTAATATTAAGGATTTGACGTATTTACTCGATGGAAGCGAAGAAAAAACTCTCAGAAGACGAGAATTAGGTGAGACTTCTGCCGACTTTTTCTATTTATTTACATTATTAAATGCCTTAAATCGACATTTTACGCTTTTCAAATTACGTAATGATGTAATAATTGATAAGAATTTTGTATTTATAAAAGTATTTTCGCTTTAAAATGGTAAGATTTGAGGCATGATTTAAGATCTGAATGAAGATACCCCCAGGATGATAGTTAAAAAATTGATTTTAATTAATCATACATCAAATACTACTTCAAACATTCAAATATAGTTAAATATTTGTATATCTTATGGGGAAAATTAGGATTGGCATGAATGAATGTTATTTCGTAGCGTTAAATATGAAATTTATATTACTCAACCAACTGTATAGTCAGGAGTCAAAGTCTGGAACTATTTTGTCCCATTATTTCCTCCTTGTTTGAGATTTCGTAAAAGATATGTATCCACAGATAATAATTATAGTAGTAATTAGGCCTAAATAATGCCGACAAAATCTTTAAAATATACTGGCAAAAATATATTTGATATAAATATGCTACCACAGACGTTTTCGATCCGCTTCAGGTCTGAAATGTTCGATAGAAATGGAATGCAAAAGATCAAATTCGAATTTTTAAAACCATCTTTATATTAGATTATATTTTTGCTGGTGTATTTTGAAGGTTTTGTCGGTGTTATTTGATAGTGTATGACTGGCTTTTGGAAGATATACAGTGGAGCTCCGTACAATGCAGTTATATGGGATTCCCTATAACGTTACGCATTATAGTAAATCGTGTTATCGAAACTTGCATTATCACGCAATTTATGCGAGTTTAAACTATGCCTAAAAGTTGAAAAGAAAACGTATATCTCAAAACTACAAAATTCAAATTTTGCATATGTACTAGTTGCATATTGTATGAGAGTTTACTATAGTAGTAATTTCAGGGAAACTTTTATAAAGGCATTTAAACATTTTTGCTAATATTTGTTTTGATTTAAAAATAAAAAAACCATTTAACTATCCAGCGTAATTCTTTAATAACATAAAAACGTTTTCAAACGCATTGAGCGTTCATCGTCAGTTATTTCTCTAATTCGAAACAGGAAATTCGAAAAATTTCGTATATATTGTAATTCCTTAACTGTATCGCAAATGTTTGTGCAATGCATGTGCGCTCTTCTTATCCAAGATCGAAATACCGCCATTTTAATATGCTCCAGATCCGCCGAATTCTTAGGGATAATGATGGGGATAAATTTGCGATAAATTTTTGTCGGTTTGCGATAAATGTTGGTTCGGACTTCCCCTTTTTTGCATGTTATAGTCAGATCCAAGAAATTAACGCTACTACTGTCTTGTTGCTCCAATTCCAAAGTTAAACCATACAGGTTACTGTTTATCAGATCCATAAAATGCTTGATATTGCGATTATCCTTCCACAAAATAAATACATCATCGACATATCTTGCATATACCAATATATCTTGTTGTAATGAAGGGAGGATATTGTTATCTAGATTACGGAGTACCAACTTGCAGAGGACCGACGACATGGGGCTACCCATCGGTACTCCCCGCCCCTGTAGCTATGTTTTATTTTTCGAATTTCCTGTTTCGAATTATAGAAATAACTGATGATGAACGGTCAATGCGTTTGAAAACGTTTTTATGTTATTAAAGAATTATGCTGGATAGTTAAATGGTTTTTTATTTTTAAGTTGAATTCTCCAGTTAGCAAGTATACAATTATTTGTTTTTATTTTTGAATGAAAATACAGTATGTTGTTTACTTATGGTATTGAAAATGATTAAAAAAAATAAAGGTGAGGTTTTCTCTGCCAGATGTCATGCGTTCTTCTAGGGTTATATGTCATCCCTAACTGTAGTAAATACTATATTTTCTGAAACCAGATATGCATTTTCAGTCTTTCAAGCCCCTCTTCATTTGCATATTGGAGAGTAAAGAAAATTAAATGGAATGTTGCTGGTGATAGTTTTCTGTCTCAGGTTTAATAAGTCTATAATATCTTCCTTTAGAAAATCTAGGATTTACTACAGTTAATAAAAAATAGACGAGAAGCAGTTTAAAATTAAAAGGTCATCCCTAGATGAACCCCAAAAAAACCAAAACAAATTATGGATCTAGGAATGATCCATCATGAGATATAACTCTCCAAAACTTGCTTCCATAATGCTAAATGATTTACAACTTTGATATAAAGTTTAGAGTAAAAAAAAAAATTGGAACAATATTCTAAAACATCATATAAACTTAATATTTTTTTTCAAGAGAGTATTAAAATTGTTTATATAAGATTATTTGCTAATATATACATATTTAGTCTACAGGATTGATGCTATATAGCAAAGCTAACAAAAGTAAACTGTTTACTAAATAAATCACAGTACTACCATTAACCTTCAAACCTTTAAAAATGCAGTGTAATTTTAATTTTCAAATCTTTTTGGTTGTCTTAAATGACCACCTTTAGGATAGAAAGAAACAAATTTCAATTTAAAAATAAGAACGAAAGCTTGAATGTCCTCTGGAAGAAGTTGATTTTGATTTAATATTTTAGATCAACAAAAATTTAAATGCATATGTTTGCCTTCATGGATTAAAATATAAATAGATAAAAATAAAAACCAAAAAAACATAAAAATTAAATAACACTAAAAGAAATGAAATGTGTAACTGGTAAATTTAACTGGATCACTAATGAAAATGTTTATAAGAACTAAATTAATGTACAGTCGACCTCCCCCTATAACACGGGTTCCTATAGTTCGGATTCCTATATCACAGTGAAAAATTTGCGACAGTATTCGTACAAACATGCCAAAAAATTCCTATAATTCGGTAAAATGTCATCGCCGACTTGTGTCGCAACAGGATTGCACAAACCGTTGAGTTTAAACGAGCAGCAGACCTACCAAAAACCATTTATTATTTAATGTCCATAAAAATTATATTTATATTAATGATGTCTCTAAAGTTCAATAAATTTTTCGCAAAAAAAATAATTTATCAGGAAGCATGCGAGCACCATTTGATGACAATCTCCATGACAAAAACAAACTTAAGCAACGATGTAGTCGAACGGTGCACACTCAGTAAGTAATTCTACAATTTTTTGTTTATGGCATAGTTTATAAGGATTATTCCCAAAAAATTATACATATTTTGGAAATGTTGAGTCGAATTAGTCTAGAATTGATTAATTTTATGGAAGAAACCTTTCAAGCAACCGTAGTCCGTAAACTGCATACGTGCTGGGCTGTGATTGGCTGGACTCCTAGAAGCTGGATTCATAAAAACAGGAACGTATCTACCGTGTTATAGGGGGGTTGACTGTATATAATACACACACTATGCCACAAAAACTTATATGTATGCACAACTGGATATAGTTAATAATATTTATGATATTGTCCAGTACTCTGTAGGTTATTAATTTCTTTATTATCATAGTTCATCATTTTTAGTAGCCTACTAAATATGTACAATATACAAATTATAAGGTTTTTTCTAGAAAACAATTGAAAATATTTTAAATGTAAAATTAATTTTTGGTATGTCTGGTCAGTTCAGAATGGATGTATAGCAAAAATAGCAAATAATAACAATGTTATAAATACATAAACGAATACATAGATGAGATTCTTGTTATGAGTCTCTAATACATATGCAAATAAATGATTACCAAGCATTGTATCATATCTCTCTTATATCAGTTTTCACAATATCCCAGTCTATTGCGTTACATAGCTTTTAACAAGAAACAGTTAACAGTAGTACAGTACTCAAAAGAGTGTGGATTAACATTATTGCTATACAATATGTTACCAACAATACCAGCGCATGATATTGTTAACAAACTAAGAGAACATGTAATGTAATAGTACACAAAGAAACCCAATGTGGATGCAACAAATGTTATAATGCATTGAACTACATGGAAATCAGGTATCATGACACTGAAAATGCAGTTAGCAAGAGATAAAGATAGACAAATAGAATTATCAAAATATATTAAAAATATCAGAATAAATATAGTATATTAAAGTTAAAAATTAAATAAATAATAAAAATAAATTGCCAAAACTGTTTTTTTTTTTTTAATTTTAAAGTTTTTCCAAAGTTGAGAATTTCACTGACTTATAATGAATTTAAGAATTATACCTTATTTCTCCAGTAAATATTTTATTTCTAAAAATGTTTTCAGATATATTAAAACATCTATCCTCAGTTGCAAAAATATTTATTGAACAACTAACAAAATTTCCAGAAAACATTTGCAGAAATAAAATATTTGCTGAAGAAATAAGATGTAATATTATTGAATGATATCAAGTTGTATTCATGTTGACTCATAATGATTTAATGATTGATTTTTATGTTACATTTTTTAAAAATATAAAAACTTTGCAAATATCTTCACTTTCTTTCTGTCTTTTACTCCAGCAACAGTCCAAAACAGAATTTTTATATGTGGAGATGACCTTTCCTTTGATGCTACAGACCCAAAGTTTTTATATTTAAAAAAAATTAAATATTGTCTGCCAAGATTTTAAATATTTACTTCATGTTATGTTACAGTTTTAGTTTTTGTTTTTCTGTGCTATTTGGTCATTTTTGTAGTTAATATATTAATAAGTTTTATCATTATTATTGGTGTTGAATTAACTTTATTAGTTTTGATTATTTGTTAGAACTATCATATTTAAATAGCTTTTGTATTCAATATATTATACTAATTTTGCTACATTTCTGTTATCACTATTGTTACTATTTATTGATTCATACAAATTATATATATATATATATATATATNTTAATTTCTTATTAATTAATAAAAAGATTATATATATTTTTATTGAATAAAGAATATATATAAATAATTTGAGCATCCTATTCTGTTCTTCAAGAATGTCAAATTTTTAAAAGATAAGAATTATAATCTGATGAACTGAAAAGAGTTTGAAAACATTTTTTAATAAAAAATTACAAACACCTAAATATTTCAATTCAGTTTTTTATTGAAAATATTTAATTTGGCAAAATAGCTCAAAACAGTCAACAATTTCCATTCTTGTCTTTAGTGGGAAATAAGTCTTCATTATTTGGTGATAGATCACAAGAACTTGTTTCAGTAATGTGGCCGTATTACATATATACAAAGGATCTATAACAAACTACTTGTGATCCCATATGAACATAATCAGCATTTCTGTTTATATTTCACAATATGATATACAATGTAATAAACTATAAACAAGGAAAATTTATTTAAAGACCTATGGTCCCAGAAACTCATCATTTTAAAGCAAAACTTGGTAAAAATATTGGCCAGTAGTAAACAGTAACAACACTATCATCATCACAGCAATGGCCTAAACAATTCTGCATTTTTGAAACTCAAATCTAATTTAATTTGAAAAACAAAAGATTTTGAGAAGTACAAAAAAAGGCTCACCTTTAATCTTAAATTTTTCCATGAAAATCAGAAGCATCAAAAGAGAGAACTTTCTCCTCTAGTGCACAATATGTTCATGCCATAATAATGGCTAAAAATTTAAAATAGACTGTTTCCAACATCTGTGGTGCAAATCCTAACTTGCTATCTCTAACAGTGGCTTGGTGATTCTTTGTGGAAACATTATCCTATATTTGCTTATACAAATATATTAAAATACATAATAAATATTTATGATAATTTTATGAAAATAAATAATAGGTATTTAATTTTAAATTTTATAATAATCATATGAAATAATAGAATGGTGATTATAATTAATTTTCAAAGTTATATTAAATATCTTTAAATTTTTAGAAAAAGAATATTATACAGATCCAGAATTAAAAGATGATTATCCAATTGATTATCAATCCCATTCCGAAGTGTACGATAGTGCATTGCAGAAATCTCTCCATTTTTTCCATAAAGCTATGGAAATGGCAGATCCACAAGAAATGCTGTAAGTTAATGTTGATTTTTATAATGAAAATAATATACAGATTATATATATATACATTTATTATTACAAATATTGTAAATTTTGCAAAATAATATACAGATTATATATATATAATCTGTATATTATTTTGCAAAATGTACAATATACAATAGTAGTATTTTTTAATTATTTTATTATTACTTGTGTTTATAAATTGACACTCGTTATAAAGAAAGATAGTTGTCATTTCAAGTATAACTTTCTTTAAAAGTGAAACTTTCATAAATAAATGTTTTAATATTTTATTAATAATGGACATCAAATTGGTCTGTGCAAAGGAAATAACTGCTCAAAGAGAAAAAATGCAGTTTAAAATAGTAGTTGTACAGTCTTTATTTAAATAATAATGCATCAGTTTTAGATTAATATATCAAAATTAAGTTATTCATTGGACATATTTTTAAAAATATCAATTTAGCAATAAATCTTTGATTAATGTTTACCACAATTCAAACTTTTCAAACATTTTTGGTTATCTTAAATGATCTTCAAAATAGAAAACTGGAATATTCTCTGGACCAAGTTATTCCAGAAGGACATTCCAGCTTTCATTTCTTTTAAAATTGAAATTTATTTCTTTCTATTTTGAAGGTTGTTTAAGACAACCAAACCTGTTTAAAAATTAAAATTGTACTGTATTTTTAAAGGTTTGAGTAGTAGTATTTATTTTAGTTAATAATCACAGAAGGTATTCAAATGTATAATTATATTGTATATTTGTTTTTGTTTAATTATGTTTTAGACAGAATTTGATTCACTTTAATTGTAGAACTTGTATGAATTATGTATTTTCCAATTGCTGTTTGTAGTTGAAGTAGCTTATCATTTTACAGTAAAACTATGAGATCTAATCCCCTGCTTGCTTCACTCATCTCAAAGACTTTATCTACTTATTTCCAATATAGATTATTTGTAACAAAAATTTCAATAATAATAATAATAATTTTAATTTGTTTTCTGAAACAGTGTTTTAGTATTTATTGACTGTTGAACACAAGAGTGTGTTATTAATTAAACACTTGGCAATAAAGATGGAAATCTTTATTGCCAAGTGTTTAATTAATAACACACTCTTGTGTTCAACAGTCAATCAAATAATAATTTTAATGGAAAAAAAATTAAACTATTTTTATCAAACTTCTTTCCAAACATTTTTAATTTCACCTTCACTTTGAATTATGATACTGGCCTTTGATCTAAATCTTGATAGTGCTACATATGTCCATGACTAAACAATGACCTATCTATGTATACATTCCAACATGATCAAAACTTTGACAACAGTGGTAAAAACTTGTTTTTACCTCTTTTGATGTTGACAGTAATTGTTGTTGTTTTAATGTTTGTCATTTTTCCACCCATATTCTTTTGAACAATCTGTGAATGTTTTTGTTGGTAACCTTGATGTCAAAGGTCAAAAATTATCAAAGCTATGGTTTTGTTTCTTTCCTTTATTTTAATGCAAAGGAATTAGTAAAATTAGATCCTTACTCAAAATGAGGATTCCGTAACATAATCTAAGTTCAGGTTGCTTTCAAAATACATTTCCACACTCAAAATATAGTGGGTGATCGGTTAACGAACATAATCCGTTCCAAGACTTTGTTTGTTATCCGAATTGTTCTTTAACCGATTATTGATTTACTATAGATTTTTATGGGAATTTGATTAATTCGTTCTGCAAACTCCAAAAAATATAAATAAATAAACGTAGTAAGAAAGTACAGTGGTTGATCAGTTAATGAACAGATCGGTTAACGAACAAATCGGATAACGAACACTTTCACGAAAGATTTTTATGATCGGACAACGAACACATGTTCGGATAACGAACACTTGACTGAACAAACACAAGAAGAAGCGACGTAAAATAACGAATACTGATTGGTCTTCCTTTGTCTTCAGGCAACAATTTGAAACTTTTCGGAGCACGGGAGACGTCGACATCGACGTTCTACTCAGTATATACTGATCGGATAGTATTTCCACGAACTTTGAAACACTCCCTTGTAATTCCAGCCCTTGTAATATTTTTGACAGAAACAATTCTGTTACGTTTTCTTCTGAAAATGCGGATTTATGCCGATATCTGTTATTAAAAATCTTTTGAAGAAGTGGGAGGATGTCAGAACAACGGTTTTAAAATGGCATCCAAACCAGGTTGAGGTTAATAGGTCTAGGGATCTCTACAATTACAATGCTATTAATTACTTCTGAAAAATCACGAAGACAGAAAAGCAATCGACATTGGACAGATTCTTTAACCCCACAAATGGAAAAAAACATGACTAATAAAAATGCAAGATCGTGTATATATGTATTTTTATTATTATATATGAATAAACGTAGTAAGAAAGTATATATTTTTTTATTTTTGGGGGGTCTCCAGAACGAATTAATCAAATTCTCATAGAAACCTACGGTAAATCGATAATCGGTTAACCAGGGGTGCACAACCTGCGGCCCGCGGGCCACATACGGCCCCCTATCAATGTTTATGCGGCCCGCGGACGGTACAGGCCAAATCCCTTCTTTCGAAGTTTCTAAGTGTAGAACTTTTTCCCTTTCACAAAGTCATTAGCACCCAACTGTTTTATGACTTTCCCTGAGGTGAGAAATGGGGGATTGTTCTATAAATAAGTCTATTTTTAGCTAACACTTTCTGCTTTAGATATCGAATATTTTAAAATGATGTTAGAACGTCATTTCCGATGTTATCGGGAAGTTTCTATTTTGGCGGGAAATCTTCAATTTTATGCTTCGGAAAACTTGCCTATTCGTCTAAATAGCGTCAAATAACAAAAATAAGTGAAAATAGCGCTGAAAAACCATGAAAATAACGATTTTTTAGCATTTGTTTACATTCTAGATTCTGATTGGTATAGTCGAATTTGAATCAATCTTTTCTGAAAAGACGCTTATTCGTCAACCTAATGTCATTCAAACTAGAAAAAAACTAACCAGAGTTCAAAAAGGAATGTACAAAAAGCTATAAAACCAATAATTTACAACAATATCTCTCCATAGACAAAGAATAGAAAAAAAATTTTTCACATCAAATTTATTATTATTAAGTTGGACCAAGAAAATTAATACTGTAGTTGGAATAGAGTCATTACGACTAAAAGGAAGCCATTTGCATTAAAATATTTTGGATTTAATAATTATTACAAACCGCGTCAAGCCATAAACTTGTCAACAAAGAGGGTTGTAAAATGATTCCGTGTAGCTAGAAAGCTGCGGTTTTTTTTGTTTGAAAGAAAACAGATATATTTAGGTTATTTAAGTAGTAAATTAATTGGAACTTTTTATTTACTTTTATTTTTACATTCTTTTTTTCGTAAATTTAAAATTAAATTATTATTTTTAATTTTTATTTTATTTGAAATTTAACAGTCGTAAACTGTGATATATTTAGGACAGAAAAAAAAAAAAAATTGATTCTAGCGCCAATTTGAAACGAGATATCGCAATTTTAATAATTATATTTAAAATATTCAGATTTTCCACTGCACTGTGTTAATCACTTTTGATTCATTTCTGAACACGGGGGTAAAACTGACGGGCCATAAATATAATTTAGGTAAGAATGGTAACCACATTTATGATGGATTAGTGTCCTGCACCTGGCATGTTGACGATCTGACTCACAAATTCTGAGAAATGGTGGAGACGCCCGGACAGGGGTCGAACGAATTAAGACCTGCCTGGCCACGTGTGCGTAATAGTCTTCTGTCCCTGCCTCTTTAGTCTTTGGTCAGAGTGGATACAGAACAAAGCACGTGGTAGTCTAGCTTGCCTTATCTCAAACATGATTTGTTGCGGGCCTCAGAATTTTCGGCACAATGAGACATTGTTTTGCAGAGTGAACAGTATGGCGCCGGGCATTAAACGCAAGGTCAATCGCGAGAATCATCAGTTTCAAGAAGTGGAAGTGTGGACTAACAAGTACTGTTTTGTGCAACAGAACAACAGCATTATTTGCCTTTTGTGCAATGGAACAATAGCAGTGCCAAAAGAATTCAACCTGAAGCGACATCATGAAAGCCAACACAAGGATTTCCTTCTGCAAGGTACGGAACGCAAACGGAAAATCGAATCGTTACGACGATCACTAATCAGCCAACAAAATGTGTTCAAGAAACAATCTGGAGAATTGGATGCGGCTGTTGAAGCCAGCCTAGAAATATCTGCTTTAATAGCCAAGAATGGGAAACCTTTCACAGATGGCGATATGATAAAAAAGTGTCTTATCATCGCAAGTGAGATGTGTCCTGAGAAGACAGTGTTTTCAAACAATCAGTCTTAACCACATGACGATACAACAAAGAATCTCGCAAATTGCATCAGACATCACATTAATCACTTGAAGGTCCGGCCCCCAGTCAATAAACTTAATCCTAATTTGGCCCTTCTTCAAAAAAGGTTGTGCATCCCTGGGTTAACGAACAATTCGGATAGCGAACAAAGTCTTGGAACGGATTATGTTCGTTAACCGATCACCCACTGTATATGTAATAACAAAAATATATTTATTCACAGTCTTGCATTTTTATTAGTCATGTTTTTTCCATTTGTGGGGTTAAAGAATCTGTCCAATGTCGATTGCTTTTCTCTTTTCTTCAGGATTTTTTGGAAGTAATTAATAGTATTGTAATTGTAGATCCCCAACCCAGTAACCTTATTCTGGTTTGGATGCCACTTGGATGATCGTTGTTCTGACATCCTCCCCACTTCTTCAAAAGATCATTAGTAGTAGATGTTGACATTGGTCCTCTTTCGTCTTCCTTTTTTGTGTTCCTCTTTTTCGAAAGAAAACATATCTCGCTGAGTTTCTTGGTATTCTTCATTTGAGAGTTCTTGGAGTTCTTTTTTTGTCAGATCAGTTTCAGGTTTTATTATAAGCTCTAAAATGCTCTTTATTTCTCAGATGTGATTTTCATTACTCCATTAGCAGCTTG